GCTTTTAAATGTATGCTAAATGTCATAGGCACGCTGTCAGAAGCATTTTGCAATCGGAAGTGATAGATACAACGCAATTTCACCGCTATATTTGGTTTTGCAACCGCAAGTTCTCCGGCCTTTAATGAAGTGGAAAAAAACTATTCAAGTATGCACGGGGTCGAAGGTGTAAAAAAGTTACGTCGAAGTTGACTTACTCGATTAACGCCTGCATCCGAACTTTTTGAGCACAATTACTTTGGTTGACATGAAGGGATGAAAATTCGAATTCTAATTTTCAAAAGGCAATGAGAAATTTCACTCAATGACAACAGCTATTAGCCTAGAGATTGTATTATTTCGGTCTCCATATGTTCATAGACAGCAGGGACTACTTTATATTGGCTAACTTCAAAAACAGTAGACCACACACTTGATCGCACAATATAGCACGCCAAACAAATACGGACTTTATTGTATAATCAACTAGTTTCCCGAAATCCTCGCAGGAAAAGGAAATGGGCAAATTTTCTGACATCATTTTCCGTGCAAAATCTGTGCTTGCAGGTACTGGCAAAATATTGCACTTTATAAATTCGTTGTGCTTTCAGATACCAAGCACAGAAGACATAGCAAAATTGTGTTTTTGGGTTTTAAAATACTTGGACACTAGGCTGCACGAATTCCAAATATCATTTTGCGGTTTGAGTAATGACATTTCTAGTCTGACGACACAGCGCACCTTTATGTATATAGTATATTTCAACATAGATAATATTATTGCCTTCTTTTCTTTAGTTATGTAGCGACTCTTGAGCCGAAATTTCGGGAATTTATAGTGTGAGTCCTGTTATAAACAAAAACGTGCCTACTTGCTTTGCTTGGGGGCCACTTAAAACCATAAGATAACCACCTAATGTCCCTCAGCTTGCCAGGAGATAAGTATCAAAATTTACGCTCAGTGTCATGTGTTCTCAATTTTCCATATTGATTTTTATCCATAATATTGATCATACAGAACGGAACGGATCGAAGAAACACTTATTTTAGGAATATGTTCCTAACTTTTGTTTGACGTCCATGCTGGTTGTGGATATTATATTTACAGAGGCATTGTAGTAAAGGGATCGGAGTGATAAGCCACATTTGAGTAGGGATTCGAGAACTTTTGTTTTAAATTTAGGCTGCATGTGGATATCACAGGCGTATTTAGTCGACATTTAGCAATTTTCTCTCGGTGACACCCAGATGCAAATAATTTGTTCAAAGAGTACTTTTTACAATTTGTATTACCATTTTAGTAAATATTTATCACTTTGTTTACAGGACATACCTCACAGAACATTATTCCACAGAGATGGACAGCATGCTGCCTCGTTATCTGTATGTTTAAACATGATTTATTATATCTTACTCACAGTCGTAACCAGTTTCTGCTTTACAAAATACTGACACTTACCGTTGACAATTACAATTAATGCTTTTTAACAAAACTGGCAAATTCAAACGACTATCTCATGTAGCCAGACAATAAAGAGTTCCAAAAAACGGCAAACCATTTGAGAATTGTTTTAATATTGCTTCACTGCTAACAGACCTTACTTTACTGTTCTCGTGAAATTATTTTCAAAATCATTAGTATTATAAGATTTTTTTAATTTGACCTTTGGGTAATTGAACCCTTTTTGATGGTTCACATCTTTTGTAGAGAACGAAATGTCTCTTATGATTTATTTTAGATACACGAGTACGACCGGTGACATCAAAGCAGATTTGCTTCGCAATCTGGCCAGTCACATTCTGGGACAAGAGGATATAAGAGCCTTGTAAAATTTATTATCCCTATTATAACGCCAAGCTTATCCTTTGCATCTATGTGTCCGGCCCTCTGGAAATTGTGTACCAATCTAAGAACCGATAAAAGGAATTCTTCTTTAACTCAAGCCTTGTCATTCATATGGAATTGCAAAAATCTAGGGCACTTTTTACTGTTGAGGATAAAAAAAGTCATATATTTGTATTAGAAATTGTTTTTAAGGTGCTTTCCAAAAAGAAAAAAATATGGTCAATACTATGAAAGGCAAAAAAGTGTTCTCGAAAAGCAGCTCAAATGCAATACTACGCTAAATAAATAAAAACTTGTATCGATAAGCTTCAACAATTTTACTTTACTTCTCACGAATTACGAGTATTCTTAACATTATAGGGCCGCTCAACAAGGACTAGACACAACGGACGTTGAGAGTCTTGAGTATGTTTCCTGTGTACTCTTATTGCATCATTAAGCAGTCTTGTTGTAGGTCTTATACCTGAATAATCGTTTACTTTCGCACGTAACGCGCATTTTTATAGGGCATCACTCAAGTCTTCATTCAAGGGATTACTTGATTGATCAATCCTCACTGGAGGTATGTTTTATTGCATTGCTAAGTCAACGCTTGTTTCTTTAACCAACAAAAATTTAACTAAAGTTGTAATAATCAGCAGAATAAACAGTCGCCGTTTTATAATTTTACGGTTGCTTCTTAGTGGCCTTTATGAACTTTATATTGTTTTTTTCTCTCCACCCTTAGGTTTTGCGGCGATTTTGGTTATGGTTATGGGTTATCACTTGGGTTCTGTTGACAAAATAAAGGTTTTGGGATTTTGATTCTGATTCTGATTTTTAAATCTTAAAAAAGCGAAAAGCAACGCTTTGTGAAGGAAATCTTTAAACCTAGGAAGAAAGATCGCTGAAGCATCATAAAAGATATCTATTGAATTGTGCTGTGATATGGAATATTGATGGGGAGGATGCCTGTTAGGCATCCTGCTTGGTTTTCGCGGTAGACAGATACAAACTGTGCTGCATGTTTCTAATTGACCACAGGCGATAGCAAAACAAGAAACGGTAAACATCCAGAAGAAGAGCCCGTGTCTGTCGACTGCTTTCGCTTCATGCATCGACGCATGAACTCTTTGGGGTAACCATTTTTTGAAAACAGTTTGGACGGGTACTTGAGTTCGGCTTTTTAATTTTCGGGGCTAGAACAGCGCGTTCTTGCCCGATTGATTAGGGTGGTAACCGTTTTCTGTTTCTGAGCAACAAGGTGGTTGCTTTCGTAATGTAAGAGAACATCTGCGAATGCTTTTTGCGGTAAACAAATTTTTGCAATGTTCCGTCAGTGCCCTGCCGTACGAGGACGTCAAGAAACGGAAGTTTGCTGTCAATTTCTTTCTCGAGGCTGGCCGTGATGCCTGGCACCGTTGATTATATAGCGTTTTGTAGTGTTTCGAGCCGGTCCCTTTTAAAAACGATAAACGTGTCATCAACATAGCGTAAACACAACTTGGGTTTAACTAGTGGTAGGGCCATTGTTTCGAATTTTTGCATTGTGATTTCAGCCAAAGAACCCGTAATAGCTGACCCCATCGGTGGTTCCTTTAATCTGTTGTTAGTATTGTTGTGCGTAAGAAAATTTGTTTTCAGACAGATATCCAAGAGTTCAACGAGGGCAGATACGTGGATATAATTGTTCCACTATGATTGCAGGCTCTATTTAGTAAATGCGAAATCTCACAATAATCAAAAACGACAAGATGTTTACGGAATGTAAAATATTACGGCAAATAGTTACGACCTGGATCTTGGTATACACGCGGATAAAGTCCTAGTGGCGTTGCCAGTGTATTCGAAGACTAGGGAGAATCAAAGAAAATGGAAGCGAAAATGCTAAAGGTCACAAATAGTTGGGACCACCACAGTACCCAAGTTAAACCAAAGGCGGCGTAAAGAAAGGATGCCGAAGAAAATATAAAAGTCTAAAAATGCTGAGACACAAGTCGGTCAGGAAAGTTAACGTGAAGTCAACTGCGGTTAATGTATGCAGGAGGTGCAGGGTATGAGTGGCTTGTGTCAGGAATATTGGACGTGGATGAGGAGATAGCAACTGTAGACGGCTGTGAAGATGGAAGAAGAGGTAGCAGATGGGACAGATGGATGGAGGGTCGGGGAGCAGGGGAAATAGGACCGCATGGCTCATCCGGCGGAATGTTCAGTACAGCGGCTTTGGGGCGGTCCACGCTCACGACCTCTTCTCGTGTTCGGCGAAGGATGCGGAAGGTCTTCTTACCTCGAGAGAACGGGTCGTCATAGAAGGGGGGTTTCACCAGCCGACGAATGCAATCACATCGTAAAAAGACGTAAGAGCATGTCGCCAAGTCTTTTTCGAGATAAGACTGGGACACAGCAGGCCTTGGTGGAACCACGGACAGCGTCCGCAGAAACTGCCGGAGGCGATGCAGGAGGTTCGCATGATCCTCGA